GGAGAGCCACATGGCCTCCTTGATCCCCAAGTCACCAAACCCACCAATCACAATAGCATATGACCGGTCAACACCCTTGGGCACCAAGGTATGGCCGGTCAAGGCCATTTGACTTGGCTTGGGCTTGCTAGCCATACCGCAAGCCCACTCGGCTGGGCTGCTCTTGCGCGCTGCTCGGCATGGGCCTGCTAGCACGCACCGCAAGCCCACGCAAGCTGCTAGGCTGCTGTACGTTGCTCGGCTGCCATGTCGGGCTTGCTAGCAAGCCTCGCTAGCCATAGCTCGCTGTGAGCTTGCTGGCATGCCGTGCTAGCGGCCTGTTGCAAGCTGCCAGCATGCGGGCTTGCTAGCCACGCCATGCTGCTGCTCGTTGTTGCTGCTCTCGCAAGGTCGCACGCCCTTGCAGGTTGCTGGTGCTTGCGGCAGCATGTGCTATATAACCTAGCCCTCGTACGGTTAGTCCGATACGAGGTTAGGGCTATGCACTTTGACTTTATAATTCGTTGTTTGACTTATTTGTACGTCTCGTCAATTTCTAGAATTTAACTTGACGTTCGGGTTCGACACTCCAAGCTTGGAATCCGACGTCGGAATACGTATCCTCTAGTTTGACGTAGTAATGCCTTCAGTTGAATTCATCACCTTAGTTTGGTTGCACGCTTGGGTGTGACCCATTGGGTTCAATAAAAGGAAAGCTATGAGATTAATATAACTAATCTCACTGATCGGAGATGGCCTCTAGCGCGATTTTCCGATCACTTGACTTCACTGAATAATTAACTCTGTAATTAATTCCGAACCCTCTATCGGAATAATACACTTGTTCGAAGGACACCAATCCTTTCATTTAAATACTTGCTCCATTTCTTCATGCGCGGAGTTTTAGGAAAAATTGGAAAAAGTAATAAAATATGGAGGTAGCTAGTGGGATAGGTGGAAGAATAAAAAATTGTAAAAAAAACCAAAGTAGTTGAGAGAATTGGATGAGAGAGAATATGGAATCAATAAAATATAATTTACGTTGGGTCCACTAGTTGAGATAAATGAATTAAATATTGTAAAAAATTTCCAAATAAGAAAATGAAAATTGGAGCAAGTATTTAAAAACGGAGGGAGTACTACGTATAACGTATTGTAATACTTACCACCTTTTATGTCATACAAGTATATATTTTGGCTTTCCATCATCTTTTGTTCATTTTTTTTTTTCACCTTAGACTACTTTACTGTCTTAACTTATAATTTGTAAAAATTCTGACTAATCTCCAACAAATTCCAAAATAAGATTTGGAGAAATTTTCTATATAGTTAATTTTGGTTTAATTGAAGTTCAACTAAAGAGCTAGAATCAAACTACTCGCTAAATTCATTTTTAATATATCTTCTCATTTAATGTTCATGTTATCAATTGGCAGGAGAAAAAGTTAAAGTACGTGCCGACCTTTAAATAAACCGATAAACTTAAAGTGGTTAAACATTTAAAGGTGTTAGCAATGGACTCAAGGTATGTTAAAATAAAGTATTCAAATTGTGGTAAAAATTAAATCATGCAGATTGCAGAGTGCTCTCTAAAAGAATAGAGGGGACACATTTTGTTTGACAACATGTAAAAAAGTATAGAGTGTGTCAATCTTTTGTGTAAGAACTAAGGAGAAACTAACAAGGAAAAATATGAAAATTATTACTTGTATATAAATGAAAGATCAATTCCCATTGTATTATATACGCCTTTTGTTAATACAAACAGGGAAAATAAGAACCTATATAGTTCAAACACTCTGTTACTCCTTAACAAAAATCAAAATTAAAAACAAATGAAGAAATGAAATCGTAAAGAAAATTAACGAACAAGTTCATAAGAGCTTGAATTGAAAGAGTGATAGTTAAGCCATCAAATATAAGTAACAACGTCGTTCGACAACCATTTAGATTGTGGTGGGTGTTGTTAGTTGTTACGGCGGCAATTCAACCTAACTTGACCTTGTGAGCCAGTAAGGACACCGACCTTACCAAGCTTGACCATAGCGTAACCAAATTGGTAGGCAAATAAGTTATCGGTCCAAGCCAACTTGTTCACTGAATCCTTGGTAAGTGAATCACTTGCAATACGTTGATCAATTTCAAGTATACCCTTGCCTTGTGCAATTGCTTGGTAGTAACCATTGTCCACCTTGAACTCACTTCCTACAGTTTGGTCAGCGAAAACAAAGTTGTTTGATCCACTGCGAGGACATCTTTGTTGACACGAACTAAGAGTTGCTGAATTCATAGATGGGTCTGGTCTACCGGTGTTCTTGTAATTGTATAGTCGATCTAGGAATTTGCTACAATGAATGTCTCCAACGGTGTGACCACCTCCTATAGTATGATCAAACTCATCATTAATTAAGCTAGTTTTATACTATCTCCATTTCATATTTTTTGTAACTTTAGAATATTTTATATCTCACAAATAATACCCCAAGGTAGTCTAAATCAACTTTCCTAAATTAAAGTGTAGTTTTAAAAATATATGTTATCAATAAATAATTATTCAAAGTTATACCTAAGAGGAGCACAAAATCATAAGAACTCAATCCTTTCCTATTGAATAGCGTAATGGCGTCTGAAACTGAGATTGTTGGTGGAGGAAGGTTCTTCTCAGCTTCTGTTATAGTTGAAAAGAATCCATCTCTTCTTCCAGTTTCAACATCGTACCAATTTCCTTTAGCCTAAAAGAATCATTCAACATATTATGTGTTAGTAGTAGATTTTATCATGGATGTCTTAAGTTTATATTTCTCGAATTTCCAATATATAATAAAATCAAGTACTACTTGTATGTATAATACATACCAAGGCAACTGCGACTCTAGTTGCTATGACAATGATGTCGGCGCAAGAGACAAGTCCTGGGCACACTTGCTCCAATTTTGCTTTGCAAGCATCGATAAGTTCATAACCTCGAACACTGCCATTTGATGGTGCATTTTTCTCCGCGTTGCTTCCATCTAACAAGATGGATGCGTCACATCCCTTTCCACGGAAACAAATTATACTTGTTAGCATATCACATCGAATGTAGCTTATAAATTATAAAAATATTTAATTTACCCCAACAAAGCAATCATGAAACTGCATTCGAAGAAGAGCAGCGACAATGGTGTTATCATTTTGGTAAGCTTTAAGAACTATATCGAAAATAACACTTTCGACGTTGGCGCTACATCTTCCGTCATAGAATCCTTTCTTCAACTGGCCATAAGACTGGCCGACGAGGGTCATGCAGAGAAGAAAGATGGCTAGTGTCGTAGTAGAGGAAGAACTTGCTCTGGCCCTAGCCATTTTGTGCTACAAATTAAATGTAAATGCTTTATTATTTTTTTTTTATATATATTTTGGTTTATATGAATTACAAGAAATGGAGTTTCATATATATAGGCCTAAATGCACGACCTGCTAAACACAATTCTGGGCTAAAAGTTGCTAAGTTACATGTATGCACGACTTGTGAGAATAATTAACGTGCATTCCACTATAAAGTATATATCGTACTAAATAATCGAAAAACTAATAATTTTAAGTTTTTGATCATCAAATGACAATGATCTTCAAAGAGAGATTAATCTTCTACACTAATTAATTAATTATTAGTAGAATTATCTTAATTCTTATTATAATTAATATATTTAGTACCTAATTACAATAAGCCTTTCTAGTTGAGAGTTATGTTGATATTATATATATAGTATTATTGATTGAAATTGTTTACTATTAATTATGTAATGTCAACCACTAATTTGCTGTTTTTTTAGTTTGACTAGCCACGGCCTCAAACCATACAGCCTTATTAGAGGGGATTTAGACTTTCGGGAGTTATTTAAAATTCATTTGATAAATCACTCCTAAATACGTACTACACACACCATGGCTTCTAATATAATATGCCACCACCACCCGTATATGACCCTGTCCTGGCCTAGGCTTGTTCGGTACAACTATGCACCCCTTACCATCACAACCATATGGTACCATATGACACTAAAATTATGTAAGTGACTGATACAATCTAGAAAGGAGGTGGATACAATCTAGCTTACACGTTTTTCTAGTCCCTCGTTCCATGATGGAGCTAGAAACTGGGATCTTCATCGTAAATTATTGGTGGCTGATGGGGAGGGATCGATTTTATATATTGATTGTCATCCAAGATACATGTTTTTCTAGTCCCTCGTTCATGATAAACACATAACAATTCTTTAATAACACTCTAAAAATATACAAAATATATGTCTTTTTTAATTTGTACGTTTAAGTCAGCGACCGGGTGTTTCTAAAATGACCGTGAAAATAAGTCTGTCATAACGACTCCATTGTTGCCCCTTGATAATGGACTAACCACTAATTGCTAGGCAAAACCTTCCCTCCTAAGGATCAAATTTACGTACGTATGACTTTTCGATGGTTAACATAAAATTGCAGCTTGTATAGATTTCATTATTTCAACCCTATAATTTTAAAGAGTGTTATGTGTTTGACCATATAATAACTTTAAACAATGTACTAATAAACTTAGAGGAAAAAATTCAACGTTTAATACTCTATCAAAAGAAATAAAAATATATCATATTGAAAAAACAAAAAAAAAAAAAAAAAAAAAAAAAAAAAAAAAAAAAGCGTTTGTGGTTTTCTTGGATCTTTTTACAGCTTTGGTGATTTAAGTTCTACTATACCCATGCAATATTCTTATTACCAGCCCACCTTAAAGGGGAAAGAAAAGTGAATAAAGAGATAGAATAATGAAGAAATTCGGAAAGAGAGAAAGTAAATATAATAAGGACATATTTTGTTTGAGAACTAATGAATTTCAAAGGGATGAAATAAAATAGAGATTAGATTATTATATAAATAAAAATGATTCCCATTGTATTATAAACCGTTTGTTAATACAAACAAGGAAAATTGGAACTTACATAGTTCCATATAGATATAATTCAAACACTTTGTTACTCCAAAAACAACATATCAAAATCAAAGACAAATGAAGAAATGTAATGAAAAAACGAACAAGTACATAAGAGCTTGAATTAAAGAATGATAGTTAAGCCGTCAAATAAAAGTAACACCAGGGACAACGACCATGCATATTGTGGTACGTACGTACGTTTGTGGTATTAGTTGTTACGACGGCAGTTCCTCCTGACCGGACCCTGGGTAAGGACTCCAACCCTACCAAGATTGATCATAGCGTAACCAAATTGGGTAGCAAAGTCCCCACTGTAAGCCAACCTGCTCACGGTACTTTTAGTTTGAACATCGCTTGCAATTCGTTGATCAATTTCGAGCACACCCTTGCCTAGCGAAATCGCCTTGTAGAAACCATTGTCCACCCTGTATTCACTTCCTACAGTTTGGTCGGCGTAAACAAAGTTGTTTGATCCAGTGCTAGGACATCTTTGTCGAAACGACGTAAGGGTTGCTGAATTCATAGATGGATCTGCTCTACCGGTGTTCTGGTAATTGTATAACCGGTCTAGGAATTTGCTACAGTGAATGGCTCCAACGGTGTGACCACCTCCTGTAATATATAAGTTTATAAATATGCATGCTAGTTTTAATTTGTAAATGAAATAATTATATACTAAATCAACTTTGTTAAAGTATTTCTTTGGATATAATTACTATACCTAGGAGGAGCACAAAATCATTAGCGCTCAATCCTTTGCTACCGAATAGTCTAATTGCATTTGAAACTGAGATTGTTGGTGGAGGAAGGTTCTTCTCAGCTTCAGTAATAGATGAAAAGTACCCATCTTTTCTTCCAGTTTCAACAATGTACCAATTTCCTTGAGCCTAGAAAAATCATTCAACACATTATGTGTTAGTAGATTAAATCATCATGTCCTAACACTATTAATTTCTCAATTTTATAATCCAATGACAAGTAACGTTGCAAAACTAGCTAGTTTGTGTAATGCATACCAAGGCAACCGCGACTCTAGTTGCTACGACAATGATGTCTGCACAAGAGACAACTCCAGGACACAATTGCTCCAATCTTGCTTTGATAGCATCGATAAGTTCATAACCTCGAACGCTACCATTTGATGGTGCATTTTTCTCCGCGTTGCTTCCATCTAACAAGATGGATGCATCACATCCCTGCTCAACAAAAATGAAATACTCGTACATGTTAATCTATCATTTACAATTTAACACTCCGTAATATCTAACGTGGATGTACATAACCATGCATGTTAATTAAGGCAACATTGCATTAAATTACTACATACCCCAACAAAGCAATCATGAAATTGCATTCGGAGAAGAGCAGCAACAATGGTTTTATCAGTTTGGTAAGCTTTAGAAACTATATCGTAAATAACACTCTCTACATTGGCGCTACATCTTCCAGCATAGTAATTTTGCTTCAGCTGACCATAAGACTGACCGACGAGGGTCATGCAGAGAAGAACAATGGCTAGTGTTGTGGTAGAGGAAGAACTTGCTCGAGCCCTTGCCATTTTTTTTTTCTTTTTAGGAAGAATGTTTGGAAAAAATATATTTTTTTTTTTTTTTTGGATATAACTTACCCAAAATAAAGATCCATATTTATAGAGGCAGTTCGAGGCTACAACAATTGAGTGCACAACCAATTAAGTTGATTGGTGATTGTATGCACGAAATGTTAACGTGCATTTCATAATGTCGAATTAATGCAATTTTCATTACCCAATTGGTAACAAACTAAAGGAGTATCTAGAATATTTTTATTATAATGTATGTCTCTGATTAATTTGCTCCCAACTACGAATATAATATATGCACTCCAAGTTGGGGGACAAACGAATATGACGAAGGACTTTTATTTAATGTGATTTCTACCAAAATTCATGTAAATGAATTATTCGGTTCGATTAATGAATTACTTAATATTCTCAAAATCACCTCTTGATAAGTGAATAATAACAGATCTATATACTTGACTGAAATTTTTAAGGCATGTGTACGATATATATGTAGAGACTTGTCAAATTCATTCTAATGTACTGTGAATTTACAATTTACATTGCAGAGTACTCTCCTGATTATTATTACTCCATTTACATAATAATCGTACATGTTTAATTGCCACTGTACATTTTATTTATATGTATCAGTAACATACATCTTTAATTATGATATAGAAAAAAAGAATTAAAAAAAAAAAAAAGAAGAAGAAGACTTCAATTATACTTTATACATTAGTAAAAATTATAAAAAATTAATATTATAAAAGTATATATCGAGATGAGTTAAACAAATTATCAAATGGATTTTTTTCACGACACGTATCATTCAAAAATTACAATTAGAGCAGTGTGTATGAATAATGTACAAAATTTCAAGGTTACAATGTTCAAGGATTTAATTAATTATTAAGGAATAAGGTGTTCAACATAATAAAGCTCGTTATAAATTATTCATTTGCCTCCTTGATATAAAAAAAAATGAAAAAGAAAATAGTACCTTCCCAAAACAGGCAAATCATTGATTGGGAAAGGTCGTACACCTGTACAAAGATAACAAGAGTACGCACAAATACACAAATGAGGGCAACTGGCTGGGTACATATCAATTTCAATTTAGTATAACAAGCAAAGCTCGGTGGAGTTGATGGGGAATTTACTTTGTGACTTTGAGTTCACAAGTTCAAACCGCACCAACTATATATTTGCTTGGGAATAGGGGGATTCTTTTACCTCCCCCTCTGCTCTCAAGCATTGACCTGCGCGGCTGAACTAGCTTAAGCTGTGAGATATGCCGATTCAGTAGGATCCTTCACCTTACCTTTAAAAATAAAATCAATTTGGTATATAATTTCCCTAAATATCTAAAAATATGTTGGGAAATTCATTAAATTTTATTAAGGGCAAATATAAAGTTTGAACATTTAGAGTATGATGCACTTTTAAAACTAAATGATGTATTTTATAAACCAAATGTTGTATAAAAAAATTGAATGGGAAGTTTACACATATTTACAAGCTAAGCATGTCGTTGATATAACCAAGCATGCTTGATGGAGTTAGTGGGGCACCAACTATACAAATGCTTGGGAGTAGGAGGTTTCCCTTACCTCCCCCCTCTACTCTCAAGCGATGACCTGCAGAGCTGGGCTGGCTAAACTTGTGAGAAATGTCAGTTCAGTAGGGTCCTTCATCTTACCTTAAAAATATGCACATTCAATACAAAAATTATGCACATAAAATCCTTCTCATTTTAAGGAACTTCTCATTTGACCGAAATTATATATTTGTGTATGAGTACATATTTTAGGAATTTCCCTATACAAAATAGAACTTTTATTATAAACTCTTTCAATATATAATTTGTAAGTCAAACTTCAATCAACAGTCTAAAATAAACACACAATTGCTCCAAAGCAATATTATTATTATTAAAGCTAATGGTAAAAACAACTCAACAACATTTGGTCATTGTTCTTAATTACATATAGTAACGATCAAAAAAATGAAATGGATGTGTATATAAATTAATTAATTAATTAGTTAATTAATTAAAACGGCGGCAGTTGCTTCTAATTTGGCCTTGTTTACCAGTTAGAACACCAACCCTACCAAGCTTAACCATTGCACGAGGGAATTCAAAGGTGAAGTCCCCGGTCATAGACAGCCTTCTTACAATACCGGCGGTTCGTGGGTGGCGTGCAATTTCTTGATCAATTGGTAGTATACCCTTGCCTTGCCTAATTGCTTGGTAGAAAGCCTTGTCTACTTTAAACTCACTTCCTCGGGTTTGGTCTGCGAAAACGAAGTTGTTTGATCCACTTCTAGGGCATGTTGTACTTAGAGATGAGAAAGTGGTTGGATTCATGGTTGGGTCTGAGCCCCTTGATCGTTGGAAATTGTAGAGACGTTCCATCACAAATGAGCAATGAATTCGTCCAACAGTGTGTCCTCCACCTATAAGGTACAATGGATTGAACAAGCTAAGTTAAACTCAAAAAATCATTTTAAGGATGACTAGCTACCAAAAATTTTTATAGTAGGCACCCTATATGTAACATGTAAGTCGATAAATTGATATACTTAAACTCTATACTAGTTTAATACCGGATTTGATATCATACCTAAGAGAAGTACAAAATCTTGAGTGTTCAAGCCTCTTCTTCTAAATACATCAATGGCGTTTGGAACGGAGATTGTTGATGCAGGAAGGTTTGCTTCCGCTTCACTAGCAAGTGAAATGACACCATCCCTTCTTCCAACTTCAACGCGATACCATCTTCCTCCAGCCTAAACAAATTATATCCGTATTTTGTGTAAGTTATAATATTACACGAAGTACTACGTACTTTGTCATGCTTGCTAGCTAGTTTGTACGCCTCAATATTGAATTAGTAGTAAAATTTCTAGTTAATTATTCATGTAACATACCAAGAAAACTGCAACTCTAGTTGCTATGACGATGATGTCTGCACAAGAAACGACTCCTGGACATATTTGCTCCAAACTGTCCTTGCAAGCATCGATAAGATCATAAGGTCCAACACCAATATTTCCAGATGCAACCTTTTCTGAGCCTCTTCCATCCAACAAGACAGATGCGTCACATCCCTAAAATGATCAATAAGTTGATATATATTAGTACGTAACTAATAAGGTATAAACTTTATACAAACTAAAAATTTACACAAAGAAGTTTAGAAATTACCCTAACAAAGCAGTCATGGAATTGCAATCGGAGAAGAGAAGCTACAACTCTGTTGTCTCTATCGAAAGCTTGCTTAACAATGTCGAAAATAACTTTTTCGACGTTGTTCTTCCCACATTTTCCTATGTAGAATCCAAGCTGCAACTGACCATAAGATTGACCTACAAGAGTCATCAAGAGAAGTGCAACGGCCAGTGCCGCGTTAGATGATGAACTCGTCCTAATAGCCCTAGTTCTAGCCATGTTTTCTTAGTTAAGAGTATGTAATCAATAAAATTTAAGTACGAATACTACTTAGTAAAGTGTATGTTGTTGTTTTGTTACTATGACATACTAGAAGTGTAGGTGCGTACTTATAAGGAAAGTACAAGGCAATCAGTTGTTTTTTTTGGATGAACGAATTGTTCTTACAGTACAATTGTACAAATTGTTGTAAGAAATTATCGCGTTCTTCAACCAGTTTTTGTAAGCTCTATAAGATATGATCGATTGAACACAATTCAGCCGACTCGTTCAATTGGAATGTCAAATTCAAATGATAAAAAATAAATTAAGGCTAGTTGTTAATAAAACTTAACAAAATTAAAGTATATGTTTGTTAGTATATAAAACAATTAAATACTCAGCTCTTCATAATACATTTATTGATACAAGAATTTATCAAACCTTTAACTTGGATGACATCGTCCTTACTTTAATTCCTAGTAAAAGGGCTCAATTTGGCCACTTGGGGAGGTATTGATAACATTGACTAATACCCTTTCTCATTAAATATAATTTGACAAATTGAAAAATAATATAGAAGACTTGTATAGTATAAGATATGGTTTCTTGGCTTTTAAAAAATAATCTATAATACCATTTAATAAGGACTATCTTTAAAATTTTGAGTTTAAATATCTTTATTTCTCTTCACTATCCAATGATTCTATGTTGCGTTGTTTGATTGTGCTAAAAGGTAAATGGTTTACTCTTTTTATTTAGAGAATATGTACGTATCTATAAAGTAAAATTCAACAATTTACGTACAAAATAGCCAAAAGGTCGCAAAATGTACGCAGACTGATAACTACGACAAAGTTAATATTTTTATCTTAGTTTTTGGCAAGTGACAAAGTAAATATGAAATGGTCTTACAGAATGACAAGGCTGTTTAAGTTATTATATTAATCTCTTAAAAATGGTCTTACAGAATGACAAGGCTGTTTAAGTTATTATATTAATCTCTTAAAAATGGTCTTACAGAATGACAAGGCTGTTTAAGTTATTATATTAATCTCTTAACTCTTATTAAAAAAAATATCTTACCTCTGACTTCTCCGCCTTGATGCTCAATTTAAGTGCATAGGCGTGTGCTCTAACTGATTCTCAATTAGGTTGCTTGTGGTTTCAAGTTTGATAGTGTCAACCAACGTTAAGAGGGCCTTTATGAAAAAAAAATTTGAAAATTATATACAGTACTACGTATGTTCTTTCCTGCTTTCACTTATACTCCCTTCGTTTTTAAATACTTGCTCCATTTCTCCATACGTGGAGTTCTAGAAAAAAGTTGGAGAAAGTAATAAAATATGGAGGTACTGGGGTAGGTGGAAGAATAAAAATTTATAAAAAAGCAAAAGTAGTTGAAAGAATTGGAGGAGAGAGAATATGAAATTAATAAAATATGATTTATGTTGGATTCACTAGTTAAGAAAACTGAATTAAATAGGAAAAAATCATGGCAATAATCCGACCTTTAACCCATTCTTTTTTAATAATCCGACCTTTCGATTATTATTTAATAATCCGACCTTTGGGGGTCTTTAATTTTTAAACAGGTTACATAACACGTGGCGGCCTGTGATTGGTAAAAAAAATCAAAAAAAAAAAAAAAACCAAACCCTTGATCACCACCAATCCCACCCCAACCAGCCCCCAACCCACCATGGCACCACCCACGCTACCTACCCTGCTAACCCAACCAGCCACAAACAACCACCAACCGTTGCCAGGACCCGACCCTAACTGGCGTCCAAACCCTCACCCCTGCCCGCGAGATCCCACGCCCAGCCCCCAACCCCTTGCCCCGCGAAACCCCAACTTATCCCCTACCGGCGACCGTACTATATCCAGCGACCCAGTCACCCCCACCTAGCCTCATCTTCAGCGACACCCACTCCACCCGCCTTCCCTACCAGTGGTTCTGCGAACCCCCAACCCCTACCCACAAATTCCCACTCAGGCACTCAGCCCTCCCCCCCCTACCAGTAGTGCAGTGGTGGTGGGGATGGGTGGAGCAATGGTGTTGTATGGGGAAAGGAGAGAGAAAAGAAAAAATCAAAAAAAAAAAAATATGTTGGGTGGTGGTGGGGATGGTGGTGAGCTGGTGGCTGAATTATTTGAGGTTTTTTTAATTTTTTTTTTTTTTTTTTTTACCAATTATGTAATGACACGTGTATTTTAAACCGAAAAAAAAAATTACCTCTTCAACCGGTTTCTGGTCAAATGGGACCAATAAAAATTAAAGACCCCAAAGGTCGGATTATTAAATAATAATCAAAAGGTCGGATTATTGCCATGAATTTTTCCAATTAAATATTATAAAAGCTTTTCAAATAAGGAAATGGAGCAAGTATTTAAGAATGGCCGGAAATAAAAAGTAAAACAAGTATTAAAAATGGAAATTAATAATCCCACCTTTTGGTGGTCTTCTCTAAATAGTCTCACCTTCAATTAATCTCAAAATAATCCCACCTTTACACCTTATCTTCTTAAAATAGTCCTTTTTACCGGTTACTTATTAAACAGGTTAAAATCATCTTCTTCTTTGTTTTTTAATTTATTTTTTATATTTTTAATAAGGGCCTTCTACCACCATTACCAGATTTACCACTACCACCATCACCAACAATACCAAGACTTCAAGGGCTCACCAACCAGGCAACCACCACCAGCAAAGCCACCTCCTTCTTCGCCACTTGCCAGCTATCAAACCCACTTGGGAATCTCACAAGTTCTTAACCCAAACTGAAAACCCCAAACCGGATTGTTCCTACCACTTGAACCCACCACCTGGACCACACAAAGTCCTACGGTACCTACCCCACTGAATCCCAACACCCCGAAACCAGACCGTACCCAACCCGAAAACCCACCCCAACACCCAAAATCCAACCCTCCCTCCACCACCAAAATCTACCTCACACTAAAAGCCCACAACATAAAAACCTCACCCAAGTCACTCTAAACCTGTCCCACTGATACAGGCAGGCTGGTGGTGCAGGGGTGTTTGTTAATGACGACGAAAGTGGTGAAGGAGAGGTGAGAGAAAGGACGGCGGAGGGAGCGTAGACGCTGTGGACGGTGGTTTTGAGTAAGCAGGGGTAATAGGATGGGGGAGGTATGAGAGAGAAAGCTTTTCTAATAATTAGAATTAATATTAAAAATGCTAAACCAATAGAATTGTGACAAGTGTTAAGTTAACCTATCAAACCGGTTAACAATCAATCAAGGACCATTTTGAGCGGATGAAGTTTAAAGGTGGGATTATTTTGAGATTAATTAAAGGTGAGATTATTTAGAGAAGACCACCAAAAGGTGGGATTATTAGTTTCCATTTTTTCTTTAAAAATTGAGGGAGAATTATAGTACTTCGTATTAATTTATTAATGATGCTGGACTACTAAATGCATGCGTTATTTTGAAGTGATTCATGCCAATATGCCACAGTTGACTGTTCCAACTTCCATAACTAACATCCTCAATCGTGGATTCGCGGAACCAGCCATCTTTGGGCCAAGGTTTTGCCTTGATCAAGAGCTAGCAGTTTGGGCTTAAATTCTAGCTAAAAGAAAATTGGGTTGGATTAAGCCAAACTATTTGGGCAGAACATTTTTATTCAAAATTTTCATGCCTAAGCTTAAAATAGCCTAAATAATCATGCCCAAAACCAAATTATTTTAGCATTGTACTTCCTTTATTTTTATATATCTGCAACACAGTCTTATGGCACGCACTTTAATGTCGAGATTATATAATGTAAACGTTAAATTAATTAAGATAATTTTTACACATGATACCTAACCCTTCTCTATAGTGTTAAAATTATTTTGAAAATGTCGTTCGTTTACCTTTACTAATCAACTCCTAAAACCGCGTGTCTTAAGGTTATGTTGCAAGTAGAAGAAAACGGAGGAAGTGCTATGTAAATTTTTTTATTTTTTTAATAGACATAAACTATGGAATTTGTTAAAGATAATAACTCTCTCTAAACTAATTTATGTATTTGTTAATTTAGATTTCATTTGTAAATGTCGTATGACTTTTTATTAACGAATTGGCTTGTCTCGTTTTCTTTAAAAAAAATCTTATTTTTCTCATATACTTATATTTCTTCTTTTTCTCTCCACATTTACATTTCAACAAAAACCTATACAAATAGTTAATCCATGGACAAGTAAATTGAAACGAAAAGAGTATCAAATGTGAACACACGGTATACGGGCCTAACAACTAAAGTTGTATGTTAAGCTCATCCTTTAAAGTGGATAAACCCAAAACCCAAAAACCAAAACCCAAAACCCAAAAAAACGTTAACAAACAAAAAAGGACAATTCCAAACTTATTTCTCTATATTCCCTAAAATTCTTCCATTTCTATTTATTAAAGCAAACTTCTTTTTCTCCCCTGCTTCCATAACACTGCACCACCTGTCCAAAACAAAAGAACTTTTATAAAAGGAAAAAATAAATTGTTCGAATGAAGTTCAGAATCCCGTGTCTTCACTCTTGAGGAGAGAGAAAACTGCGAAAAAAATGAAATAATTTTGGGTTTTCTGGGTGGTTTTTTCTGTAAATTCATCTCATGCTACTCGCTTCTAATTCTTCTAATCTAGGTAAGATTTTACTGCCATTGTTTTTATACTAATTTTGTTGTTTTACTTTCTTATTTTGCAATTTGTTTTTAATTAATTATGATATTGATTAACTGCCATTAATTATGATATTAGCTGCAAAATTTTTAAGTAGAATTTTCAATAATGTGATATGTTCAATGTAGTACAAAGATGTGTGATATTATTATTTTAGTTGATGCTAAAAAGATTGTAGGAGTTGTGTTTGTTGGCCTTATAAGTAGATATGATTATATTCATGGCTTCTTGATTAAATTATTAGAGTGCCTTTATATTAAGTGGTTCATATAAAAATGTACATGAAATTTTGAGTAAGTGGAAAATTTTGGAGTTGTTACGACAAAGATATGTGAAGTAGAATTTCGTAGGAAGTGGAAATATGTGGAGTTGTATTGTTTGACAAAGATGCACGAAGTTGCATTAATCATGTCTAAATCAATCAATTTTTGACGAGCATAAAATGAAATTTGATTGGAATTGTCTTATTGGATTTTTCAATGAAGTTTAATTTTGTTCGATTTAATGACAAATTATTGTTTTTAAAGTTGTTGTCAATCAAAAGCAATTTAAAAAAATGCCAGTGTTTTGTGTTCCAAATTTGATTTCAACCACCCTCTTGCCCTACCCAAAAAAGGGGTAAGTTGTTTATTTTGGTCACTAAATGTAGCTTTGATTCAAACATGGGATTCTAATTAGTTTAGTCGTTTAGAGGTGGTTGTTGGCTAGTGAAAATAATGTGACATTGAAAATGATGGTGGGTGTTCTAAATTTGTTTATTTTGGTCACTATGTATGATTTGACTAAAACATGGGATTCTAATCAGTGTAGTCACTTAGAGGTGGTTGTTGGCTAGTGAAAAATTATGCGACATTGAAAATGTAGGTGGGTTGTAGAGCGCAATTTTTCTATGTACTACTGGTTGTACTTTGTGCATGGTATCAAGGTTATTTCTTTGCCCATGTGCTTGTAACTTGTGAGCACATGAGTCAAATAATGGATTTGGAGTTTGGACCTTTGGTTGTACCTTGTGTAAAGTGCAACCGGTTGTACAATGAAGATTTTTGATGTAGAGTAGTGTTGTAGACTGTAAGAGCTGTGGAGTGTACCTTCATATCTATTCATAAAGCTTAGCTTTTAATGTGGGTAACACAAATGAACAACGATATCTTTTATCAAGCCATGAGTTTTGACTCTTTTGAGTAAGTGTTTAATATGCTTGATTGTGTATTAAAACATATAATAGAGTGTTCTTGGATTATTTTTTGGTCGAATCCAAGAGATTGGGGAACGAGGTTAATAATGTGTTCTTGACCTTTTGATCGAATTGAAATACATATATATCGATAATCCTTAGAAGTAAAGCTGTTATTGTATTGGGCTAGTGGAGTAGTGGATAGATTCCACTGATGAATATTTTGATCTAATTAGATATATTGACTACGTATTCCCCTGTTAGAAGATTTGAGGGCTGCACTTCTGTCTGACAGTGTAAAACTCGTAGTTGAAACTGGGCAAGAAAGCCCTAGATACCAAACAAACTGATGAAACTTTGATTGCAGGTGATGACAAGAAAGGTCATGTCATTGAAAACTTACGAGGCGATGAACATAACCTACCACATATGGTTGGAACGTGGGCACCATATGTTATGGACCACAATAATTCATTTTCTTTGACAATGTCCCCCATTCCCCCCAACTGGAATAGTTTGATTAGCTGAAATCCCAATTCAATTTTTCAGTAGAACATTGTGTTAGTGTTACAAATCACGATTAATTTTGTACGAGGCAGACACCACAAGATTGTAAAAAGTACTTTAACACTTTATATGTGCTTCCCTCCAGCATCAAATTTCATAAAAATCTATCTTCTTGTACTAAAAAAGTAGATAAAGTAGCAAATGTTCTGTTTGTCCGAGGCTCAGAGTGGTATTTTGTGTTGATGAAAGTATCTATTACCACTCTCTTGTATATTCTTTTCTCATCTCAGTGGAAAAAGCAAAACTTCTCTGAGGGAAGAGTGCATAAGAGAGCTTCTTTGGATGCCCTATTGCTCTCTTTCGTAAGGCCATTATGTTTTTAAGTGATTTCTAGGAGATGCTACTGGGTCATTTTAATCAACTTTTGAATGGATGTGTTAAGGATTTTGTAACAGAATAAATTGAAATTCATTCTTGGGTGCAGAAATTAAATTACCAAATTTATTGATTTTGTTCGTTGTGATGTGCTTGTTTAAACTACATTTTTGTCACGCAGCTTTGCAAGACCATAATAACATGAAGGAAACTGAGGTGTTGTCAGAAGACAGTCGAATGCATATAACCGCAATTAGCAAGAGAGGTGGAGGTGGTGGTCATGGAGGTGGCGGTCATGGAGGTGGTGGGGGTCATAGTAGTGGAGGCCATGGTGTTGGCAGTGCAAGTCATGGTGGTGAAGGAGGAGTTGGCGGTGATGAAGGCCATGGAAGAGGAGGGAAGCTTCCATTCTATGGAGCTGCTGGGGCAGCAGCTGTTGCTGCTAGAAACAGGGGTCACCACCAGCAGAAAGGCTCGAATTGTGCCCCTGCACAGCTTGGGTTAACTCTTCCTTCATCATTATTAGGTCTTGGAATCTTTCTTATTCGATTTTAAGCTTACTAGTAGATGAATATCAGAGTGAGACTTCTTAGTTTTTGGGATTACGGATACTCTTAACAATGCTACAATCCTTGCTAGGCTTCCGATCCATTACTCTACCGGACTACAAGTACGTTTCCATGAGAAGATATCGCCACTTGCTTGAGGAGTGTCTGTTACGTTTGTCTTGGTCTACTCTCTAGTCTCGACTACTTATACAAAATATATTTAATAGGCCTTTAACTTTTAAATTTTACTCAGGTGTGAATCCAAATTAAATCTTTAACTTCTAAAATTTACTCAGGTGCGAATTCAAATTAAATCTTCTTTTGCACAGTTTGTGTATCATTTGTATGTCATTCAAATTTATTGGTTGATACGTGGCATTAGCTCTATAATACACCAATTTTCTATTCATTTTTAATATGTAGTATACTATTTAAATATTTGCGATATGCCTATATGGTAAACACGTAGCCACACGAATGTTGCATGAAGGTATCTTGGTCATGAGACTCATGACTCATGAGTTTAACATTTCTGGAATTGAGAAGATTGAAAACGGAATACCCATATAGACAGATGACACAAAAACACTACCGTCATTCCGGCAATAGATAAGTTTGTTAATTTCTTATTAACATAATTTCAAGATTTTCGTCTGATTTTCCACTTAATAGACAATTCACTCCTATACGTAACCTATTAGATCTATTGTTGTCATTTTCTTCGAAAGTGGATGATTAAAGGGCGTTTGAGGTTCTTGTTTAGATTGCTTTCATAAAAGCAAAAACACGTACGAGAATTGTTTGAAACAATAAGTGTATTGTGTATGCAACAATTGTAGGCATCCCAAATTACAATATAAATCAATGATATAAACATGTGACTTAATATCCTGAGTATACAGAGTACAACTATACATTTTACAGGTACTCCGTAGTATATTACATAGAAAATCTATTGTTTCATTAAAAAATTCATGGTTAGCTTGTTCCAAATAAATATTGTACTACAAGTACTAGATAGATAAAGGAACATTAAATATGAGTATAAATTAATATTGATAGAAAAAGTGACAAAATCTATGCAAAAAAATTACTATGTACTATTTTCCTAAAGTATTCTCGAAAATCTAACATAAAATGAGAGGGGTTACTCCTAAATGCATATAAACTAGATGAATTCGGTGTAATGTACGGTTTATTTGTATGTTTCAAATAAAATATTTTACTAAATATATATTTATCTAATAAACTTTGTGATATTCGCTTGCTTACTACTTGAATTTTTTTATTATAAAATGAATTATTAACTTTTTTTCTCATATTTAGATAAAATTCGTAATATAAATAGATAATATTTTATTTTACAAAGTTTCGTCTGTGGCCGATCACACCATGTGGTCGAGATTACTTGGTCAGCAGTTACTTGGTTGGTCAAGGGTTACTCAATCGATCAGGGGTTATTCGGCCAGTGTTTGGGTGTGTCTCATCCGGCCACACGATATGACCAGCCACACAAAAAACGCGCTGATTTTATTTTTATAATTAATATAAATTTTTTTATCTAAAATAAATTGCAATTCTTTTTTTTCATTGGCTAAAAATATAACATTTTCCTATGCGACGCTCTAAAATTAATCTTATGTGGCATAATCCTATAGTAGCGTTTTAAAATTATTAATCCTACGTTGCGCTATTTTTATTATAATCTTATGTAGCGCTTAAAAAAAACTAATCTTACGTGGCATAGTCTGATTATAACGTTTTAAAAATATTAATCCTAAGTGGCACTCTAATAATTTTTTAAAAAAATAAAATCCAAGGTGGCGCTCTAAAAACTCGGGAAAAAACTCCCCTTTATATATATACTAGTACGTGCCTCGGGCGTTGCCTTGAATACCCATTTTTAAAGAGTGTACTTATTTGTGGGCATATTTTATATTATTATAATTATAAGAATAATAATAACAATAATTAAAAATTGACATGAATATTATGACCTTTACCCAGTCTGCCATAAAATGAAACCACCTTTTGATAATCCCCCAATAAAACGACCTTTGCACACGATCTTCCAAAATGGGGCGAAACCGGTTGGTAACCTGTTTATGGGTTAATATGACATGTGTCCCTTTGTAATTGGTTAATTGCCTTTTTTTTTTACAATTTTCTTATTTTAAAAAAATAATAATAAAATAAAAATATTATTTTTTAATTTTTTTTATAAAAAATACCCCTACAGCACCTACCCCGTGAAACTCCCCACCTTATCCCTACAAATCAGCGACGCCAACCACCGTCGATGGGAAATCAGACGAAATCCTCTACGCCATTAGCCACCGTCGCTAGCACATTCTCTCTCCTCCCTCCGCCACACTTTCCACTCACCCCACGACCTTCCGCGCAACTCACTTTCTCTCTCCTCACCACCACCACCGCTTTCGGCTTTTAGAGGGGAATGTGGGGTTGTTGGATTTGGGAGGGGAAGGTGGTGAAACTCCAACTACTTCACGATTCTCGCAACTCGAAACCCCTTGATTTAGCGTAGGAGTACGTTGGGCAAGATGTCTAGCGATCTTGCAAGGGTTAGGTGCCTCGGGATTGGGGTTGATTGGTTGCGCGGTTGCGCTGCGAGAATGAAAGGGAAAGGGCTGGGTTGTTGTGCTACATGAATGAAGAGGAGGGGGCTGGGTTGTTGCGTTGCGGGAATGAAGGGGAGGGGGTTGGGTTGCGCAGCGGTGTTGTGAGGGGAAGGAGGCGGCTGAACAGGTTGCACCGTGACAGGGGAAGGAAGGGGTGTTGAACAGGCTGAGATCAGAGAAGGGGATGGAGGGATTTATTTTTTTCTTTTTTTAATTAAGTTTTTTTAAATTTCATGTTAATTTTTAAAAGGAAATATGTTAAAATTAAAAATAAAAAATCCTAATCAATCACAACGTGACACGTGTCCAACCTTAACCTTTGAAACTGGTTACCGGTTTTTATCCTATTTTTGGAAGATCATATGTAAAGGTTGCTTTATTAGAGGATTATCAAAAGGTGATTTTATTTATGGCAGACCGGTCAAAGGTCATAATATTCCTGTCAATTTTTCCTTATTATTATTAGTATTTATATTTTTTTTTAAATGTTAGATATAAAAAGAGAGTAGAAATACTATCTATTATTTTTTTCACGTTTGTTATCATTTTCTGTTTTTGTAAGTTGCACTATATTCACTTAGTCTACTACGACCAATGGTTGTAATTGTAATATATATATATATGTATATATTATATAATATATATATATATGTATATATATATATATATGTATATATATATATATATGTATATATATATATATATGTATATGTGTATGTGTATGTGTATGTGTATGTATATGTATATGTATGTATATATATATAGTATATATATATGTATATGTGTATGTATATGTATATATGTATATATATGTATATATATATTTGTTTATCAAAGTTTTATGTCAACATATGTGTTAAATTTTAAAGGGACGCTAAAATAATAGAAGTGGTATAGTTTTGTGAAAAGAAGAGTGCGTCGGTAAAAAAATAAAATAAATAAAAAGTTAAAAGTAATTTTTTGTAACACGTAAAATTAACAGATTGTATATTCTTATTATTGGCCTAATTGGAATATTTGTAATAATGTATGGCTGGTAAATGGGTTATGGAGGCTTTGTAAAAACCGTAAAGTTCAATACCTTGCTAACATTGGTTTGAATTCACTTCAAGATTCTTTTGTATTATACAGTTTTTGTTGTGTCCTAGTAGTTTTTTACTTCTTTGATTTCATTAACAAAATCACAAACATACACAAATATTACAACTGAATTTGAAGAAAACTTTATTAAAAAGCTTTGATAGTAAATCAATAGTAGACTAAAAAAAATTCAATGATACATGGTAAATCATATCACTAATAAATAAATCCGGTCTCGCAGGCAGGCCACGAGACAACGACACTTGGCATTCCAATTATTCGCCAAGTGTCATGCCACGTAGGCGAAAACTAAGTATTATTGTGACACATATGATGCTAAGTAAGCGAAGTTTGGATATATTTTTTTAAGATAAAATTATTGTATAGAGTTTTATTATCGATATACTTCTAATAACATAGATATCTATTTACTAAAAAACTACAAAAGTACACTACTATATAAACATCAAAAGGGATTATATGACCGTATTTAACCTTCACGCCAAAAGTTTATCCTAAATCTTATATATTTCTGCGCATCGCCCAGGCACCAAACTAGTTTATAATTAAAATTACGTTGTTATTCGTATAAGAGTAAAATTCTATTGTTAATTGGATATTCATATTAATTATAATATGTGTGTGTAGGTATAAATAAAATTCTATTGTCAATAAAAAGATAAAAAATAATTCAAAAGAATTATAAGTTATTTTATGTATATTTTTTTATCTTAAACAAATTTATCCAATCTAATCACAATAATATCTATTTGTCGCTACGTGGCTCGACACTTGGCGAAAAACTAGAATGCCAAGTGTTGCTGTCTCGTGGCCTAGCTGCAAGAGCGGCTTTATTTATTATATGATATTAGATTGCCCGATAATTATCTAATTTATCCAATTTCTTCTCCAAAATATGACAAACCTATAATGTGTTAACTTGTATTTTACATAGAGTTTAAGAGTAAGAATAGTACATAAAATCAACAACAAAATGATTCACTTACCGTGTCTCAGTAGCCCGTTAAGCTGCCCATTATAATCTTAATGGCCCAATAAGTAGCCCAATATGAACCCAAAATCTAAAAGAGAAAATCAACCTAAACAACGTAAAAGAATTAAAGATTCCAAACTTATTAAAGACATTAAAGAGTATAATTTCCTTAATTAGGTTTATTCTTAAGCAAATTTCTGATAATAACAGATATATGTTTATAGAAAATTTATCTTCTACTCAGCTTCGAAGAAACTACGAAGAGATTTCGGCTATAAATAGAACTCGTTTAATATAGGTGAAGTTCAGATTTTAGAAAGTCTCTTGTTCAGTT